GTCGCGTGAATCGTGTAAGAAAAGAAAGAATTCTTAAGATACAAGCCTCTCTCACAGCACACTGGCACGACAAGGGCGCGGACTGGCGCGGACTGGAAAGAAAGAAAGAAAACGGACAACCCAAGGGAGGGATGGGAGGACGGCACGCCGCCACCACACAGGGATTTTAAGGAGAGGTGTGTGATGCGCTAGCCGTCGCCCACCCTTGGGCGTCCGCCTCTTCCTATCTCTCTTCGCAGTCCTTCTCCGATTCTCGTCCCGTGGGGCCGTGCGAGCCAAAGTTCTCGTACTCTTAAGGCTGGATCCGGCCATTCCAAGGGTATACCTTTGAGAATCCCCAGCGTCCCACCCTCCTAGTCACACTCTCAATTTCTCGACTGGCCAACACGAAGTGCTGCGATCGAGGGTGGCCCATTTCTTTTTCCTTTCTTTTTTTGGGCCCTGTGGGCACCCTAGCAGAGCAGGTCGTGAATGAGCTTGCCTGTGGCGGGGGTGGGCGGGTGCACGGAGCTAAGTGCCTCGCCACCCTCGCAGGAGTCGCTTAGGCGGCTCCCGTGGTGTACCTGTGTTAGTGCCAGTGCGCGCCAGTCCCGTGCCCAGTGTTGTCCGAGAGAGAGAATTCTTGATACGAAACCACGACGACACACACCAGTCGACTCGCATCGGTTGCCTCCATGAACGGCGGAGCTATTCTCGCGCCCACACCACACCTGGCTCCAACGTGGACACGCCCATAGCTGGGGACACTACTAGGTCACGCATGGCATCACAGAAGTTTTATCTCTGGGCCCCGAAAGGCATCTCTAGCAGTGTCGTTACACATGCCCCCTCCCCTCCTGGGCGCATGCGCCTCACGTCTCGCCAGAGCATAAGCCCTTGGCGTGTGGCGAGACGAGTTTTTCGCAATCGCAGCGAGCAGCAAGCCGCCCGCCGCAAACAGCCGGAGGCCTCGCCGCGGCACTGGCTGCGCCGCGGTCCCGCACCCGTCGACGCAGCTCCCCCCGCGGAAGACCGCGCGTAGCGACGTCTTGACGATCGAGATGAGCGTGCCTGAAGCTCGCCCACCTACTGCCCCTGAGAGTTGGTTATTGAGTGGGATCAGCTCCCCCCCTTGGGATCGAAGCCGCCACAACCTCACACCCAACATCCCAGGCGGGATCAGAAGGGGACTCCACACCGGACACCGCCCGGGCACAGCCCCCCTACCCGTCGGATCGCACAGAGGGCCCCCTCGGAGCAGCCCACACAATCACGCATCGGCAGATTGAGTGCCTGATTCAGGCAGACAGCACAGACAAGAGGAGAGAGAGGAGAGAGAGAGAGAGAGAGAGGAGAGAGGAGAGGGTGAGGGTGTGAACACACGTGAGGAGTGGGGGAGGGTGTCTGTGGTGGGTTGTAGTCATACTACGTGGTTAGAACCACGCGCCCCTCAGGAGCTTAAGGTAGAGCTGAGCGTCCAAGACGCCTCGGTGCCTCCCACCGGCGTGAGACCATCCGGATCTACCGGACGCGCCCTCCGGGCGGGTCCGTCCCCGCGATGGCCCACGGTCCTCCGTCGCCTGGTTGAACCCCCTGCCTCCCGGTTGACCCCCCAGATGTCGTAGTCCATCATGAAATAAACTCAAACTCCACCAGCCACCAACCTCCACCTCCACCGTCGCGCCGCCATCGCTGCCGCCCGCGACGCCGCCCGCCGCGTCAGATAGCCGCGACGCGCGCACCGAGTCGAGTCGGAGAGCCGAGCCGCACCAGCAGCAGCATCTGCACCAGCAGCAGCAGCAGCATCACCACCACCACCACCAGGGAGAGAAGCGCACCTGCCCGACGCCGCCCGCCGCGTCAGACGCTCGCGACGCGCGCGTCGAGCCCTGTCGCAGAGCCGCGCCGCGCCAGCAGCAGCATCTGCACCAGCAGCAGCAGCACCACCACCAGCAGCAGCAACAGAGACAGGCAGTGCAGGCGTAGAAGCGCTCGCAGAGCGGCGCGCAGCGCCGCGCACGCCACGCTGCGGACCGTCGCACGAGCGCAGCGTACGTCGGCGGCGAGCCGCGTCGCCAGCCGTCTCGCGAGAGCGCGGCGCCGCCGCGTGCGCGCATCAGCCGCCGCGGCAGAGGCGAGCCGCGGCGACGTCCGCACTAACGGATAACTGCCATTGGCGGTTTCTCTCTCTCTCTCTCTCTCTCTCTCTCTCTCTCTGTTGTCCGAGAGCTTGTAAAATTCGTGTTGCACTGGCCGCTGCAGGAGCGATCGGTGAGGCCGCTCGTATTCCCATAGTAGCCAGCGAAGCAAGGGTAGCACTCGCTCGGGGGGTTAGTCGTCTTCTTCAAAGGCTGACCCTCAGCATGATAAACAGATTCCTCGCGCTCTGTGTGCTGGCAGCAGCCCCTGCCGCCGCGTACGTGCCCCATGCACGTCCAGCCGTCGCGTCGCAGCCGCCGTGCGCCCTCACTGCGTGGCCCGCTTGCGCGGGCGCGCCGACGCGCGCCGCGGCGCCGACGCGCGCCGCAGCGTCGATGAACCTTGGTGATCGCTTCGTCCGGCTTGTCAAGTCGAACGTGAACCAGGCGCTGGGCGCGATGGAGGACCCGGAGAAGGTGCTCGAGCAGGCCGTCGCCGACATGCAGCGCGACCTCACCAAGGTCCGCCAGGCCTACGCTGAGGTGTCGGCCTCGTCCAAGCGCGCCGAGGAGCAGTCCAAGCTCGCACAGGCGGCCGCTCGCCGGCCCTCGCCGGCCAGCGCGGCCGTCGCAACGCCCACCCGCGCCGCCCTCGCCAACGAACCTCGCCGCCTCCCTCGCCGCCCTCTCCTCCCCCACCACTGCCGCCCTCGCCGCCCCAAACCACCGCGGCCACTCACTGCCACTCCTTCTCATCGGCGCTGGCGCCCTGCCAGCGACCACTGCCCTGGTCGCGCCCTCACCCGCCGCCGCCCTCTCGGCCGGCGGCGCAGGGCGAGGCGGACAAGTGGTACCAGCGCGCACAGCTTGCGCTTGAGAAAGGCGAGGAGGAGCTGGCCAGAGAGGCGCTCGGCCAGACACTTCCGAGACGCTTCAGAGACGCTTCGGAGACGCCTCCGAGACACTTCGGAGACGCCTCCGAGACGCTTCGGAGCAGAGACACTTCCGAGACGCTTGCGAGACACTTCCGAGACACTTCGTTCGCCCGGCAGGCGCTCGGCCGCCGGTCGCAGCAGCTGGAGCTCGTCGACAACTTGCGAGGGCAGGCGGGGGGCGACGCGTGCTGTGTAGCCAACGGTACGAGTGCGACGCGTTCACTCTGAAGGAGCGATCGCAGGTCGAGGGCAACGCCGGCTCGCTGACGTCGCTGTACGACTCCATGAAGGAGAGCGACACTTCCGAGACACTTCCGAGACACTTCCGAGACACTTCCGAGACACCTCCATGAAGGAGACACTTCCTAGACACTCCATGAAGGAGAGCGGCCCTAGGAAATGTCTAGGAGCGGGAGGCGAACCCTTGTCACCCACCCGGCGCTCGAGAGGGCACGGACTCCGCTGCCTTCCGCTGCCTTCCGCTGGGTTCACTGTCCCTCGTAGCCCCTCGTACTCACACAAAAACACAACCACGGACCCAAGACGCACAAGCTCAGACAGCCCCTCGTACTCACGCGGCCCGCTCCGGAGGCCTCTGCACAACACCGCCCTCCCGCCCCGAGGCTGGCGTGCTCACCCCTGTAGGAGCTCGAGGCGAAGATGGCCGAGGCCAAAGCCAAGAAGGACCAGATCATCGCGCGCGCCCGCACGGCCAAGGCCGCGGCACGACCTTCGGCGTGGAGTCCCCTCGCAGACCCGGTGCCAAAGTCGAAGGAAGGAGTGTAGGCCGCGACAAAGGTGAACGACATGCTCTCCGGCATCGGCGACGGCTCCTCGATGGCTGCGTTCGACAAGATGGCGGAGAAGGTGGGAAGAGCTCGCCGATCTCCCCCTGTCCCACACCCTCGATCTCCCTCGATCTCCCCCCCTCCCCCGATCGTGGAGAGTGCTCGAGCCGATCTCCCCGACTCCCCCCTCGATCTCCCCTCGATCTTCTCTCGAGATCTCCCCTCGATCTCCCTCGATCTCCCCTCGGATCTCCCTTCGATCTCCCCTCGGATCTCCCCTCGATCTTCCCTCGATCTCCCCTCGATCTCCCCTCGATCTCCCACCGCTATGATGGAGCAGCTCAGCGTGATCCCCTCCGTCTCGTTGTTGCTCGAGTGCTCCCCGAGCATCGGCGGGAGTGCCATCACAAAGGTCTGCCCGCGCTTGCGAAAGATGCCCGGCCCGATGCCCATCTCGTGCCCATCGTGCAGGCGGAGGAAGGTCGCCGTGTGGTGGTGCGTGCGCGCTGCAAAGCTCACGCGCACCGTCCTGCTGCCGGCCGTGAAGACCGGGTTCCAGCGGGTCC